AAGAGACCCAGCTCCTTCAGCCTTTCCTCATCAGGGAGATGTTCCACTCCCTTCAGCATCTCTGTGGCTGCGCTGGACTCTCTCCAGCAGTTCCCTGTCTCTCTTGAGCTGAGGGGCCCAGAACTGGACACAATATTCCAGATGTGGCCTCACCAGGGCAGAGTAGAGGGCTAGGAGGACCTCTCGCGACCTACTAGCTACTTCCCGTCTAATCCACCCCAGGATGCCATTGGCCTTCTTGGCAAATCTTAGAGGTCTTTTCAACCTCAATGATTCTACGATATTCCTACTAAAATTCATCTAGATTTCACGAACTTACTACAACTTCAAGTATGGACAGTCAAAAGGATACAGAAGAAACAAAAAAGAGCTACAAAGATGAAATCAGAAGTATTTTGTTTGCAAAGGGATACATATCTCAGTTTCAAAGAGAAATAAATTTAAAAGGGATGTAAGAGGGACCTCAGAAATTAACAATACTGTCAAAAGCGTGAATAATCACTCCCCATTTCATAAAGCATGAACAAAGAACAGTTTGAAGAAATAAGCAGTCAGTTCAGTTCATCATCCACTAACAACCCCCAAGTCCTTCTCCACTGAGCTGCTCTCAATCCACTCATTGCCCAGCTTGTGTTTGTGCTTGGGATTGCCCCATCCAGGGGCAGGACCCTGCACTTGGCCTTGCTGAGCTGCCTGAGATTCACACAGGCCCACCTCTCCAGCCTGACAACGTATGTCAACACCTGCACAGAAAAGTCTACCGCTTCAATTCAGACTCTATTTACTCTCTGGGTTAATGCAAGCTTTCAAATTTCTAAAGCTGTAAATCTATTGCCTTTCATATGCCTCCCAAGTAAACATTACAGAAATGGAACATGGGGAAAAATCAATGTTGTCCAATTGTCCTTTTTGAGAAGGTAAAAACTAGCTGACGTGTTTGTTCAAAAGGATTTTGAAGAGATCAATTCAGTCATAATCTACTGAACACACAATGCAAAGCAGTGTCCCAAACCCAAATAGTGTAGAGCAAAATTACAGCAAACTATTACTGCAATACTCCTTCACTTAAGAAGGAAGGCATACAACTAATTCGTAAAGCCTTCTTTATTTTTCTAATTGATGTCTGCAACAGTATTCGGCTGCATTGGACACAAAAAGGGATACTTTCCCGCATCTTTAAAGACAGATAACAGGTGGCTGCAGAATGGGAATGCCTGCACAAAGATGACTCGATTTTTACAGTGCTTAAGCACTTTTAAATCTTCTTTTCAACTTAACTTTACAGATGACCTAGTATACAGAATGCAGAGAAGATGGGAGAAATGTTTTACCTATTTAAATTCTTCAACACCAATCCGCAATAATAACTCACCTCTCTAGCACATGATAAATCTCCAGAAAAAAACTGAATAAAAGATTATGAAAGATCTTTATAAAAACTGTAATACTCAGGAAGTGTAGCAGTTTAAGAATTGCTACTGACATTAAAATATAGTTAAATCATGGAAATTAATGAAAAAATGAAAGAAAAACAATTAAAAATAAATTCTAACACAATTGTATTAAATGAAATGTTTTTCTTTTGAATCTTCAAAGAGTTAACTGCTTACTGTAATACCTTATAAAATTTCCAAATTCTGAAAAGTAGGAAGATAATTCATAGCTATCTTAACAGCAATGGCTTTTTTATTACACGTATTCTAGCTACGAACTTGAACATAGTAAGATTACTAACTGCCAACCAAATAAATGAGAGGACCTTCGAAAACAGCTGCAGGTTCACATTTGACTGTAAATACCTTTAAAGCCTTTTGAATGTAACATCTACTATGCACAAACAGCTTCAAAGTTGAAGTTGTTTTAATATTTTGAATCACTCAAAAAATAAGTGTAAAGAAAACCCAAAGTTTTGTCGCTCCAAGAAACATTTTACTAGGTGGTAATTAAGGCACCAATCTCCTCTAGATTTTTATTTCCTTTCCCACATGCTTATTACATTTTCTTCACTATCTGTATTGACTATGATTTCATTCACCTCTTTAGCTTCCAAAGAAAATGAGTCTTTGGCTGCACTGTCTCCCTTATCTTTCCCTTTCCCCTCTTTTGAAAACTCTTCTAGTCCTTGTCGAAATGGGAAGATCTCCAAGACAAAAATTCTTACAAGGTTCATGAAATTTAGCACTTGGGAGAGAGGAGACCCCAGTTACAGCTCTTCCCGAAAGCCCCGAGGAAGGGAGGGAGGATGCGTGTATAAATCCAGAAACTAACACCTACATGAACCCATTCACTGGCACCTACACGGGCCCCTCAACCAGCCACCGCGTGTTCCCCTTTGCCCAGAGTGGGAGTAGAGGACATAGAATCATAGAATCACAGAACAATTCAGGTTGGAAAAGACCCTTGGGATCATCGAGTCCAACCATTGACCCTACACCACAAGGTCACCCTTAAACCGTATCACCCAACACCCCATCTAAACGACACTTCAACACATCCAGGGATGGCATGAGGGGACCCTCCCAGGTGGCACTGAGGGGAATGGGCACCAGGATGGGGGAGATGCTACATACAGTGGGAAGCGGGCAAAAGAGGAGGGAGATGTAGCAGGAAAATGAGAGGTTAGCAGCAGCTGGGAAAGCCCCGGGTTACACCACACAAGAGAAAGGTGCCTCCGGTTGGCGAAACATCCAACCACCCCAAAGCCAGGCTTCCACACTTCCAGTGCTCCTGGTCCTCCTCCACCTTCCCCTGTACTTACAATATTGCAAGATCAAATTTTTAAAAGCTCAGTCTAAGACCCTGTGTGATGTTGCTCAAGCAGTGAATGCGAAGTTTTTTACTCTCCTTCCAAGCACACAGGATATTCGTAGGTGAGCTGACCCAGCTTCTGCTACCCTTGCCATTAGAACTGTATTTTCACAAAGTCCAAGCACAGCACAAATCTCAATATCAAAAGATATTAAAGAACAACGCAGAAAATTCAGCTAGCTTCCAACCCACAATAATAAAATGAATAAATATATCCCAGTTCTTCTGAGACCTATAAGCAAAACAAACTTTCAGAAATGTTAGCAATAATGGAAAGGGAAACAAAAAGCTGAGAATAAGGCACAAAACTATTAAAAAGGGATTCTGTCAGCCAGGTGAGTGAATGGTTTGTGTAACAAATGGAAGTCTAATTTATACTAAATAGTTTGATATTGATATTATTCCAAAATCCTTTGATGAACAGGCACTATAGAAATTTACGGATGAAGAGTCCTTTTATGGTTCCATAGGAACTTTACTGGATTTTCAAGTACATATGCATTTGTTTTCTGCCAAACTATTTGTATGCATAAATATCTATATATATATCAGCTGTTTATATTTTGTTAAACAAATATACATTTATCACAAATATACACACAAATCAAGAGCTGTAATAAAGATATTACAGGTGAAAAATACTTTCCTGTTCTTTGGTCCTTTTTTTTTTTTTTCATTTTCTTCTTTAAAACTATTCACAGACTAAATTTAATTGATGTTAATGTAGATAACTACACCCATGTCCAGCATTTGTCATACCTATGAAGAAATGTGATGGTAGTTCTAAAGTTATGTAGCTGCCAGATTAAGAAGTTCTGTACCAAGATAAACAAATAATACTAAATATTTTCCAGATAATAAATATCGTTAGCAGTTCAGTCTTGGACCAATGACTTTTACACATACACAGTATGGACAAAAACCGACTTAAATTATGGTGATTCCGATTACCTGGAATAGCTTCATGGGCTGTCAAAACCACACTTATTATAGGATTTTTAGCTCCTGAAACCTGTTCAGCCTCCTTAGTTGATGGAATTTTCTCCGTTTTCTGAACTCTAGGCCTCTTGGGAGTTTTTTCTCGCTCATCTTCCTTCCTGTCAAGGTCAACGTCAGAATCATTACCTAAAGAGCAAACATCAAAAAGAATGTAACAAAGTACAAAAGAAATGCAGGTAACAGTCACTAACACTACAAGAAAGAACTAGAAGAAAATTAATACCACTGTAGAAAGAAATATGCGCTATCAAAACAAGACATGCTGCATGAATCCCTAATGGCTCTCTGTTTAATAGAATTACTGTGACACTTATACAAATAGAGAAAATAGACTAGACAAAGAAAAAACCAACAAAATTTTAAAAATAGACTCTCAGAAACATTTGTGTTTCTAAATTATCTTGACATTATATTGGATTACTGTGAAAAGTCTACAAATTTTGTAGAATTTACTATGATTTCATCAGTAAAGAACAAATTACTTTTCTCCTTTTCAACTGTTCTGACAACTTTAGGATTATTTCTCCTACCACTGGATTCATAATCCATCTTATTTAATGGAAAGTCTTCCAACAGTCTTTCGGGATTAGGGTTTTTTGCCCCCACTGTCCTTGTGAATCAGATAGAAACACAATTTTTTTTTCCGTGTTGATTCAAGAAGAATTTAGGTTCAAGTCAGTTAGGTTCAACCTCATTTGTGACACTTAACTTCATTTTGAAGGCCTGCACTTCCAAACCATTCTCTAACTGCTGCTGTTCAGAAAGTCTTCAGCCTCTTGAACTGGATAACTTTTGGAGTTGTTAACCAGAAAGCAGCACAACAGTTGCATTCAAAACATTCATTTGAAATACGAATGAATAATCAGTAATCAGCTAAGTTATTACTCCAAGCTAATTCTTCCTTAACGCAAATGATAAATCCCTTACTGAAATTCTATAAAAAAAACACCAAAAAATGCCTATATATAAAGAATTACACCATAAAGAAAAAAACCAAAGGGCTGCAAGCCTATGCCAAAAAATTTCTTTGTGTTAGATGAAGTGGTAGAAAATGCAGTGTAGAGAAAACAAATCTGGTAATTTAAGGTATTATGCAAACATTCCAGAGGTAATGCTTAAGGAATGCAAAAAGTGATGGAAGAAAATTATAAATGAACCCAGTGAATTTGTTGTTGGTTTTTTCCCCTGAATCTAAAGCAGCTGACAATCTCCAGAATAAGTTATTCAATGTGTATTCATAACATGCTGTAGATGCTCTACTGAGATAGGAAAATGATATATAAATAAAAATCAGCAACATCGAAGCTCTAGCACCGCTAGAGTTGTTTATGACCTGCAAATAGCAAAAGCGGTGGAAAGAGATGCTACACAGGCATGGCCGTGTTTTAATTTCTTCACACACAGCTGAGACTCAAACAAGTCTCTCTCCCACGGTCTTAACTTTAACGGAACAAAGGATTAAAGAGTGCCAGTTGTTTCTTAAAAAAAATAAGGACACAAACACAAACAGAAGTAGCATAGTTAGGACTGATCATGCACCTACCACCTGGATAAACTGCGAGCTCGTTCCCAGATAGAAAACAAGGTAGGTAGGAATTGCATGTTTTACATAGTTAGGCAGAAATGTGCATGCCAACAGCTGTTAATGACTTGACGCTAATCTATAAACCTGAAATTCCTATTTGTAATACCTATAAAAAAGCAACAACCACGTAGCAAACTGTCAACACAACAACAGCCCATCTTTTTATGGAGCCACGTTAGAAATGTTCTAGATTACAGAAAATTACGTTCTGCCTTGAGAGCCTCTCGTTTCTGAGTGTCTGCTAATAATTTCTTCAGTTTCATTAGATAAATACCTTGATAGATGCCTTTTCTCAACTAACTCTTTCTCTGTAGATTTCTACGATTTCAGAAAATATTGCTGCTTTAGAGGTATAAATGGTTCCCATCTAACTCCTTAATATAGTTGTTAATTATTGACTGATACTGAAACCATGTAACTCTAACACCAACATTTCTCTGCAATACTTCAAAGAGATATTTGAATATAAAGAAATATCCCCAGGAACTGCTTGTGCAGTGTTTTATTTTGGCGTGATGAACAGGCATGGGAGACACAAACACATTTTTCCACATTTCCTCCATGAAACAGTTTGTTAGTTTATTATCAACAATAAAATTGTCACAAGTTTCACAGCGGGACCAGACCACTAACAAAAGAAAATCTTCTCATAAAGAACCAGACTATACAAAGACTGTAATATTCCAGTGGGCTTCCCTGAGGCTACTTCACATACTGTTAAACAACAAATACAAAAACCAATTGGGTTAATTACTTTGCTTTTCTTCAGTGGACAGTAAGAGTTAGTGGTAGTATTAGGGTTAAAAAAGCCTCCAACATTATATACCTATGGACAAAACTCTAATTTTCTGCATGTTTTAGTTTGAAAGGAAAGCTGTGACAAAGACAACAAAGTTTTCTCCATTTCGCTTGGGATCATATAATGAATTTCTAGTAGGCATATGAATAGAATCCCAGATCCCTACTCCTAAATCCTCCATTCTAACCATCACAAAGTAAGAGCTAGTTTAAGGAGGAGATAAAGTAGTTAAAACCAAACATCAAAACCATTTTATTCCCTTTTCATGCGTTGTATGTTAACCTGCAACTCTATTAACTTTTGTGTATTGGAATTCTACCAAATAAGAGAACAGGAAGAACCACAGACTTGAGTTTGTTAGCAACCCCCGCTAATGAATAACTATTATCACAGTAATAATGTTGCTACGCCATATGTACAGAAACCTTGTGCACGGATGTTAAGCCATAAAATGAAGATTATGGCCACGTGAAAATATTTTCTGAAGAAACCCGAAGCTTTTAAGTACTTCAGACAAGGGACTGAATCTCAACTTCCATCTTCTCAGTGTGAGCTGAGAACATCCAGCAATGAACAAGAAGACTACCTTCAGTATCTGCAAAAATGTGGGGAAGGTATTGAAAATCCAAATTCCACTAACACAAAAAAAGTTCACTTCTATATTGGCCAACAACAGGCAAGCAAGAAAATTCAACTGATTTGCTTATTGTACACTGATAGTACTTCTCCAACTAGTGCTGAATATCTGTATGAACAGTTTGAACATTCACATGTTACATGTGGAATAAAAAAGAAAGTCTCCCCTCTGCAGAGTGGTCAAGTCAAGTTCTGATACTTAAATGTTAAAATTGTTTTAATGAAAAACAAGAGCTTCATCTCAAACTGCCTTTCCTTAACATGGGACCATCTCATCGATAATTTAGTTGTCTTCCTAGAAAAAATTACTTGTTAGCATTAGGCATTAGAGTGTCACAGTAAGCGTTTTGTTTCTCACAACTAGGACGATTCACCTGTATAACACATCAATTCTTGTATTATAAAGGAACACCCCTAAGTGACTGTAAGATCATTTATGAGAAAATGGAATATATGCAACTTAGAAGAGCTAAGTGAAATTTCTCCAAGTGGTAAGGGTCTTTGCTCACTCCTAAACATATTTATTGAGACAAATTGCCTCACTTTGTATTTCCCTTGCTAAGCAGTCAGCTTAGCACTTCATCAGCTGGCACATCGATTGAACAAATGAACAAACTGACCTCCCCTGCTCAGTGAGAGGCATTTTAAACGCCTGCTTCTGCTTGTGCAAGGAACGCGACGCCAGGCCTGCACCTTCTAACACCTTTAAGGGATGGTCATGTCTGCATTGACAAGAAAAGCTACTGTCACCTCCGAATGAATCACTGCTTTCAGAGTCCCATCAAACTAGATTGCTCATCTGTCCCGCGAGTCTGAGACATTAATTGAACGAACTGCTCTCTGCATTCCTAATTGGATGCACGGCATTTTGCAGGTACAGCTACACATCTCTAATTGGTATGTTTTTAAACTATTTTTCATTCATATTATTTTTCTTATCCCCTAAAAGACGGTGGCATTTCAAAGCAGCAAGAGAGCAGGAAAGGGAAAAAAAAAAGGAAACTGGCTAATGGCTGTTCAAAATAAACACATGAAATTGCTTCTCCTGCAGAGACTGACATATTACTCACAGAAAGACTTTATTTAAATGAGAATCCAGCTGATGGTAAAACCATTCTAAACTAAGGCCAAAAGTGCCATCTTCAAGAATTATGCAGGCTCAATGAAGGGTTCACTCCAGAGAGAGAAATCTTCCCACGGCGGTAATCCACCCCAACAACATTCCCCAGCCAACAAACGTCCTCTTTTGCATCTGCCAGAGATTCAGGTATGCTGCAGCGTGGGAGAGGGATGGTGGTTAAAGTAATTTACCTGTTGTCTGTCTCTCAAAACAAGCAAGTTCAGAGGCACCTGCTGAGGAACTGATCCAATCCAGCAGCAGCCAAAATCCCCAGTCCCATCCCACTGGAGGAGGTTGGGGCCGCTCAGTTTTCTGGCTGGGAGCAGACACGGTGCAGACGCGTGGCAGTTCAGGAAGAACCACAACTCTTTCAGTCTTGTCTTAGGGAAAATAAATGGATGGCAGTGCCACCAGTCAGTCAAAGCCATTAGCTAAAATTGTCAATTTGGTTTAACCAAATAAAAACGGAAGCAGGTGTACACACAACTCTGCTTAAATCACAGCAACTCCTTAGGCAAAGAAGTCTTCTATTAAAAAAATGTATTTATTATGGACCTACATGGTAGATTTGTAAGGACAATGGACGTTTTTTAATTCTGTGCAAAAAACTAACATTTACTGCTGTTGCAGTAAATGGGCCCACAAGGTGAATGCAAACGTTATGCATCAAAGGATTAAATTAGATGCACAGAGGATATCAGTAACCAGCAAGGCTTGGTGACTCCTGAAAGAGTGGGAGAAATATCAATGAGACACTGATCTCTGAGAGGTCAGTGTGGATCACAAATCACAGAAGAACAGCGGAAGTCTATTACTTCCACCAGTTACTCCTCTGACAGATACATACTGCGGTTTAAATACAGCTTCATAGTGATTTACTCATTGTAATTTCAAATGTCCAATATGAGAAGTATTTCAACACTTCCCTTGTGGATCTATAAAAAACAGCAAAACATTTTAATACTTGGCAACTTTTCCCAATACTTCAACTTCAGCTCAAAACATATGTTTCTCTTAATAAAGAATATCACACAGAATATCAATATATATCTTTCCAATATTTACACATTTAGCATATTTTGGCAACAGCTAAAACCTTAGTGGGTTTTCAGTGTTATTTTGGTCACAAATCTTAAACACCACATCATATAAGCTGCTACAAAGAAAATTAACTCCATCCCAGCCAGACTGCGTGCAAAGTGAAATCATACTTGCTTATTCAACAGATGGCCATACAGTGCTAAACTTTGCAAGAAATGAAAAACACACGAAAGCAGTAAAAAAATACCATGGAAAAAATTCCAACAGCATTAGGAAAAAAAGATAACAGTAATTTCAAGTTGGAAAGGCGTGAATAAAAAGGGAGGAAAAAACCCAGTTTACCTGTATTAAGCAAGAGGTCAAAGACCAAGGGAGAAAAACTTGCAGTTAAAGCTCTTACCATGTCTGAAATGTGAGAGAAGATATTATAACTCTGGAAGGTTCAAAGATCCCTCAATGAAATTCTCTATTTAGCCCCAAGAATTTCAGCAATGGAGAAAATTCATCAAATTAGAAGTTTCAGTACTTCTTTTCTTATATACACTAAAATAAGTGTGATTTCAAGAAGGCTTTGTCTCAGGAATAGTTTTAACACTAGAAAAATGTTTGTATCAACCACACCGGCTCAAGTAACTGAAATATTTGTTGAACATTATACACACAAACCCACGCACAAAATAAATATCTGGTATAATACCTGCAGTACTGTGTGCCGAGAGAGCTGCAACACCCGCCATGCATGATACCTCCAACGGCATCTGACGATAATGAAGCTACAGAAAGATCTCTCAATAATCAGTAACTGGTGACAGAATAACCTGAATGAAACCAGATCAAGGCACCCACAAACTACATTTCTAAACTGTCATTATAGACAGAGCTCTAGTTAATGCAATCAATGGAGCTTACAAGCACTCCACAGGCTCCCCCGAAGTACTGACTTAATATTTGTTGCATATAACTAAAGCTTAGGACACCTAGTGCATAAACACATATATGTGCTAATCTGGAAGAGACTCTCACCTACAGTGACAATAACCACAAAGCAAAGCACATCTTTACTGGTAAAACAATGGGCTCCAAACTGACTCTTACAAAACAGGGAAGATCTGGCCATCTTTCTAAAGAGTTTTCTGAAAACACAAGTTCAGTCAGAAAATAAAACATAGTCTAAGGAATCATTAAGGAAAGACTGGAAACGAAGGCAAAATAATCTATGTCACGGTATAAAACAGGGATATGCTCTTGTGTCTGGAACACCACCTATAGTTAGGGTTCTCCATCTCTGAACAGTTCTCAGAATCACAGAATCATTCAGTTGGAAAAGACCCTTGGGATCATCTAGTCCAACCACTAACCCTACTTCTACACAGCTCACCTCTAAACCATCTTCCCCAACACTACACCTAAACGACCTTTACGCACATCCAGGGATGGGGACTCAACCACCTCCCTGGGCAGCCTATTCCAGCGCTTGACTACTCTTTCTGGGTAAAAATTTTTCCTAACATCCAGTCTAAACCTACTCCATTGCAGTTTGAAGCCATTTCCTCTTGTTCTATCGCTAATTATCTGTGAGAAAAGACCAGCACCAACATCTGTACAATGTCCTTTCAGGTAGCTGCAGAGAGTGATGAGGTCTCCCCTCAACCTCCATTTCTTCAGACTAAACAGCCCCAGCTCCTCCAATCACTCTTCGTAAGATTTATTGCCCAGGCCTTTCCTCAGCCCTCCTCTACACTCGTTCCAGCGCCTCAATATCTCTCTTCTATGGAGGTGCCCAAAAGGGGACACAACACTCAAGGTGTGGCCTCACCAGTGCCAAGCACAGGAGGACAATGACCTCCCTACTCCTTCTGGTCACATTATTTCTAACACAAGCCAGGATGCCATTGGCCTCTTGGCCACTTTACCTTACAGCAGAGTTGCTGAGAAGAATAAGGCTGACCAAGCTGTATAAGCAGTTCCCATATAGTCTAGTTAGTCTGTTACGTAAGACTCAGCAAGGTAAGAATAATCCAAAGGTAAATACGAAGATTTCTAAATCATGAACCTTATGTGAGACGTCTGCAGAATTATTACTCCCCATTTCTCAGAGTAACAGACTTAAGACGGCACCCAACGAAATGAGTAGCGCCGCGTTTAAGAAGCAAACAGAAGTACTGCAATTTCACAGACTATGAAATAGTGTTCTTAAACTCATTAATGCAGAACATACTGAAAAGTAGAAAACCAGACAGCTTTGTAACCCACTTAGATAAATCAATGAGTTTAACAGCTTTCAGTGGCCAAGGACAGGGCTGCAACCTCTACTTCAGGGACTCTGTCAACAACTTTTACAAGTAAGAATCTCAGTGCATTTGGGTATTTCTATTATTTTATTTTATTATCTAAATTACTTTAAATCATGAAATTATACGAACAAATAAAAACACATTTATAATTTCATTCTTTTGCTTGCCTTTTCAATTTTAGACTCTTTTGTTCACATTTAGAACACTCACCCATCATCCTCAAAACTTTCTTCATAATAAAAATTGTTTGATAACAGTTCCATTCCAAGAGCTCAAATCTTAAAGAACGCTTTCTGAGTTGGTAAAGCAATGCAGGTATCACAGACAATCCTAGGCTCCTAGGCATAGACCGTATTGGTTTTGAGCTACTCAATGTAATCGCATTTTCTTAAAGGATAATAATAATACACATGCTGTTCTCATCTGTGTACGCAGAAATTGAAAAGTTGTCCCAAAGCAGTTTATACAGTAAAGTCAGTGAAATGTTTTTCTGTGATGGGACAGTAATCAGTAGATGGCTGAAGACCGAATTTCCCAGATGTATTCCAAGAAAGAATTATCCCTTCAGGACAAAAGTAGCTGCCAAGCCCTTCACAGCTTGCAGAGAAGGTAGGAAGCTTTGGGCTAGAGACACTGTAGCCACACTAGTCACCATCGACTGGAAGCCCTTGTTATTTGCTGCTCAAGAATCACTTTGCTTGATTAATTTACTTTTGCCAGAGAATAAATAAAAAATGTTTCACCTGCCCAAAACTGAGGCTATTTTCTTTTGAAGGACGGAAAAGGATGAGCAACTTACTGTGAAAAATCTGCCAAGGTGTTTTGTAGCAAAAAAGGTAAGAATCAGGTGCTCTAATGAGTTAACACGTCAAGGACAGATAATTTGAGTTTATACTCTGATCTGAAATTTTACTTTAAAAGGATATTAGAAAAGACAACATTGCTGAAATAATGCAAAAGCTCGCATCATACCTAGCACACACAAACAGTAAAAGGTAGGGACACTTGTGATGACAGAGGTGAGAGAGCTGGAGTACAGGCCACTACATACAGCTGAGAAATCTTACCACTGTTGACAGTAAAAAAACCAACCAGGTACTTTATCAAACCAAGAGTTTCTGTGCTCTGTCAACATATTCTACGTCTATTTGAATTAAAACTGTATCTCAGTGAATGCAAAACAGTCAGTTGCGTATCACAGTGACAGACTGGACACAAAAAAAAAGAAAACTAGACAAAGATGAATGGCAAAATTCGTCTACAAGCAGAATCAACAGGATATCGTGCTAAACAATTATATCAAAAGCAAAAATCTAATAACGAAATTCACATAAAAGTTAGGTAACTTGGACAAATGTATTACTTTGTATTCATGTCACATTCACATTTTAGCAAAGTTAAATTGGCAGTTGGATTAGAAGATCATTTTAGGTCCCTTCCAATCTATTCTGTGCCATGCTATGCCATTTGAATATTCAGTTGTCTTTTTAAACGTGCTTCCTAGAGGGGTGGTCAAAACCCAAGCCTGTCAGTGTGTGGAAGTTCCATCCTCGCTGACACCAGGCAAAAGACCTGC